GAGCCATCCAATGGAAAGGCAGGCTCATGAAAACCTTATGGTGTTTCCTTGTCCAGCTTATTCAATGGATCAGGTGCAGCATGATTGCTGGCTCTTCCCAAAAGTAAAAATGATCGTGAAAGGTAAACATGTTGGATCAGCTCAGCACATCAAGGCAGCCACAGGAGTACAACTCAAGGCACTCACAAAACAAAACAAAAACAAAAACAAACAAAAATATCTTGTAGAACCACTAGAAAAAGTGGCAAGAAAGATGAGTTAACTGTGTTTGAAAAGAGAGGGAGTATTTTGAGGGGGATGAACGGCAATATGTCTTTTAATGTAATAAATATGAAACATTTAAACATTGACTATACTTTTCAATCACACCTTGCCTTCAGGTGTACATATGCGTGTGGTGTATAATTCAGTAATTTTAGCAAATTGTAAATATGAAAACATCAGCACAATTCAGTTTTACACTTCCATCAAACCCATAAACTCCTCAACACTCATTTCTTGTCAATAGCCACTTCACTCTCTAGTCCTTGGCTAATGTTAATCTGCTATAATTCCCTTACAGATTTTTACTCTTTGTTTATTTGTCTGTTTGAGACAGGGTATTGCTATGTAGTTTAAGCTGGCCTTGAACTCACTTTGTAGCCCAGGCTGGCCTCGAACTCATAGTGAGCCTCCTACCTCAGCCTCCTGAGTGCTGGGATTACAGGCGTGGGCCACAATGCCCAGCTTTCCTTTCTTTTTCATGTTTATAAATTTGATTTAATTTTATTAGCTTCCATGTTGGTCAACAGAAAGTAATTATGAATTTAAGATTACACTGAAAATCATTATCATTTCATTTTTACATTAAACTAATTTTTTAATAGAGTCTTGCTAGATAGTTCAAACTGGTCTTGAACTCACTGTGTAGCCAATGCTGGCTTTGAACTTGAGGCAATCCTCCTGCCTCACCCTCCAGAATATTGGGATTACAGGCATGTGTCAGCACACTCAGTGTCATTGCCATTTAAAAATAAAAGTGTTGGAGGTTTGGAAGCTATACAACACTCTTCCATGTTCTTGCCTGGGAACATTAAAAGGAACCCTATTAAGAAACAGAAAAGTTTGGTTTGTTTGTTTGCTTTTGGTGGGACTGAGGATTAAACCTTAAATACATGAGTAAAATAAAGGAGAGATGGTAGGAAAGAAGAGGGCAGACTTTTGGGGGATAGGGGAGAGAATTGCAGGAAGTGGGGAAGTAAGAGAGAGAAGAGGGTAAGTGCATGAAAATAATCAAGATATGTTATATGCATGGACTAATTACCATAAAAACATGACTATTATGTATTATACATATATAATAATAAAAATAAGTTTTCTTTTAACTCAAGAATTATTTATTTTATGATGTTTGTGATACATAATAATTACATTCATCTTGAGAGCCTTTTTTTCTTCTTGATATTTCATTTAAATATAGCTATATGATGTGAAATTTTGTCTGGTTTCCTTCATTAACATATTTTTAAGGTTCATCCATGGTGTAGTATGCATCAGTACTTAACTCCTTCTTATTGCTAAATAATAGCCCTTTCTAGAAAATATAATGAATATTTTACATATTCATCAGTGGACAGACATTATTATTTCCACTTTTTGGCTATTCTGAGGACTGCTAATATGAATACTTGTGTGCATGTCTTTGGGTGGACGTGTTTTTATTTCTCTTGGATAGGTATCTGAGATTCAAATTGCTGAGATGCATAGTAAGTTTATGTTTCATTTTTAAAGAAATTGTCAAGCATTTTACAGAGTGGTTGTACCATGTTATACTCCCAGCAGCAGTGTAATAGGGTTCCAATTTCTCTCTATTGTTGTCAACACTTGTCTTTTGGATTATAAATGCTCTAGTGTGTATTAAGTACCTCATGATTTAATTTTCATTTGTTTGATCACGAATGTTGCTCTGTATCTTTTTATGTGCTTCCTAGGCATTTGTAAATCTCTCTTGATTAAATGTTTATTCTAATCTTTTATCCACTAATATGATTATTTGTCTTTTTAATATTGAATGTGTGGGTTCTTTATATAGTCAAGATAAAAATTCCTTACTGAATATATAATTTGAAAGTAGTTTTCAGCCAGTGGGTTGTCTTCTCAGTTTTATAATGTTTTCTGAAGTGTGAAGGGTTTTAGTTCTAATGAAATTCAATTTATGAGTGTTTTTGGATATATCATGCATATTTTAATGTAATTTCTAAGAATTTATCCTAACTCAAAACATAGAAAATTTTCCCTGAGATTTTCTTTTAGAATTTTATAGTTTTAGTTCTTAAATTTAGGTACATAACCTATATTGAGTTAGTTCATTCCTTTTTTGTGCACAGTATGTATGGTAAGAGTCAAAGTTTTGATATTATTTTTGATCTTTGACATATAGCTATTCAATTTTTCCGGTATGATTTATTGAAATGGATATCCTTTCACCATTCATAAGCCAAACCTAAAATATCACAAATGTGAAGATCTATTTCTAGACCTTGGATTCTATCCCATGATCATCTGTGCTTATGTCAGTAGAATACTGTACTAGTTACTGTTACTGTACAGTAAGTTTTTTATTTTAAAGATAAAAGAATGAAAACATAATAACAAACACACATACATTTAGAAAATAACGCAAAAACAATACAAGCAATACAGAATTTCAGACAAGATGTTAGGAAATTAACAATGGTTGTTGTAGTACATATTGATATCTTCAAATTAGTTACTCAGACAAATAAATATAGACACATAAGTTTTGAAATCTATTAGTGTAGGTCTTCCAATTTTGTGCTTCAAAATTTATTTTGTCATTCTGGGCCTTTTGAATTTTCATGTAAATTTTAGAATCATCATGCCTATTTTTATAAAATACCCTATTTGCATTTTGATTTTCAGTATGATTATACATTCATTTGAAGAAAATTTTCATCTTAAAACATTAAATATTGTAATCTATGAACATAGCACAGCTCCATTCTTCTCATATCTCAAATTTAGCTCAGCAAGAGTTTTATAAATTTCAGTGCTCATCTCAACCTTTTTAAAATGTATTAATTCTGACTGACTTTTAAAAACTTACTTCATGATACTTCATGATACAAATGTAATTCCATTTTCAATTGTTCAGAGCTAGGATATACCATATAGTACCATTGTTTTTTGTACATTGATTTCATTTCTTATAACCTTGTTATTAGTTTTCTGCATGTTTTTATACATCTTTTAAGACTTTCCCCAGGGGATCATATCGTCTGCAAATAAGAAAGCTATCACTTCTTTCTTTCCAGTGAGAAGCTTTCTTTTCTTTTGTATTTTTCCATTTTGCTTTTTCTCTCTCTACTACAGTGGTTACAATCTCCTGAACAATGTTGAAGCAAAGTGGTGCAGGTGGAAATTCTTGCCTGCACTTAGGTAGAAAGCACTTGGTCCTTTTTGCCATTAAGTATGTTGGTAGTTGTGGTAACTTTGTAGATACCCTTTATTAGACTGAACAGATTCCCTCTATTTCTAATTTGGTGAACATTTTATCAAGAAAGGATGTTTGAATTTGTCAAATAATTTTTCTGCATCTACTGAGATGATGTAACTACTGTTCTTCATTCTATTGATACACTACATTACATTAATTTACATTGAATGCTAAATTAACCTTAACTACCTGGGATACATCCCATTTGGTTATAGTGTGTGACCTCTTTTTGTTACTGGGTTTGGTTTGCTAATATTTTATTAAAGATTTTTGCATCCATATTCATGATGAGGATTGGTCCATGTTTTGTTTTCTTGGGATATCTTCTCTAGCTTTGGTATCAATGTAATACTGGTCTCATAAAATGAGTTAGCAACTATTTCCTCCTCAACCTTCTGAACAAATTTATGAATTATTATTTCTTGTTTAAATATTTGGTGAAATTAATTAGTGAAGTTAACTGTACCTTGGCTTTTTCTGGAAGAGTGTTAAAATCAGTCTAAAGCTGCCTCTATATATTTTTGGCTTGTCCTAATGATTTCTCCATACACAGCAAACTGCAACCTAATTTGATGTATGAACAGACTGTAACCCACTCTTGTAACAAGTGGTCAATTGTTTAAATCCTGTTCAAATAGTGCAGATTTGAGTTATAACCAATCAGATTGTCTCTGTACTTCACTTCCACTTTCTTCTTCTCACTACCTTTTTTTATGCCTATAAATATAACCTGCCCTGCTTGGAGCAGTTCTGCACACTTGTAATTCCAGCTGCCCAAAAGGCTGGGGCAGGAGGATTGCAAGTTTCAGTCCAGTCTGGGCTCTAGTGAGGCTGTGTCTATCCATTCCTTTTGTAGTGGATTTTAAGGCATTTTCCCAGCTTTTTATACTGTAGTATTAGTTGCAGAACTCCAAGTTTCCTGGCCTACTTAGGAAGAACTATTAATGTTAATTAACACTTGTGCTATATCTTTTTGCGAAGGAGTTCAAATTTTATTATAACAGTTATAGAAATCAGAATGTCAGAAGTATAGTGTGAAGGAACATTACCAATAATCTAATTTAACCTTGTTTTATAAATGAGTACAATGAAAAATTAAGTTTTCAAATAATTTAGCTTCAAGAAGACCACTTGTTAAGGAAACTAGAGATATAAAAATGTCCGTGTAAAATATATAATCAGGGAAGTCAGGCACTGTTTGGTTCAGAAAATGCTCAGATCCCTCATTTCCCAGGTTTAGATGAACTGATGTGCTTTTAACCAGGAATTGAAATATCTGAAAAAATTTCTTTGAAATAATCTCTCATTTACCTAAATATCTGTTACATTTTCTTAATAATTCTTTTAGCTGCTCTTATATGTTGACTGTGAAGAATCACATGAAGTGATTTTGCATATCCTCACTTCACTCTCAACTCATCATCGTTTGAAAGTGAAACTGGTTGAGCAGAACCCTGCCTTTCCCTCCTCAGGAGCATCAGGCTGTCTGCCGCATCCAACTTACCAAGTCTTTGTCCAAAGCCCCAGGGACAGACCTGCTTCTTAGGCTCACAGTATCCTCTAAGTCTTCTGTAAATGACTCACTCAAATGTAACTCAGATCGACTCCGGTCTGGAGGGAAGAAAAAAATACATAAAAAATATGTGAGTCAGTCCATTTTGTTAGATGTTCTTATTTTTCATTGCAAATGTTTCATTTTTATTGTAATTCTTTGTAGGCATAGAGCACAGACAGTGTTATGGAAACAACATCCAAGATCAGTAACTTCAGGCTGTGTATGTTAACAAACTTTTATAGTATTTTGGAAATTGCCTTGGACTGAACAGTAACACTCCTGTGTTCATTTCTCCTTTGACCACAGGAGGTTAAATGCTCTACTATAAAATATGAAGCTTTAAGTTGTTTAAGGCATCTACTTTACTCTTAGACTTCGAAAAAAATTCTCATAGATTGGTTCTTTAAGAATGAAAAAAATAAACCACTAACCACTCTTGGTTTCTGTATGTACAGAATTCACTGTTTTCATTTTTGATATAAAATACAAATAAATCTATTGTAAACTTCTACTTGGAAAGAACATGGCAAGTCCCTCTCACACAAAAAGATACTGACTATGGATAAACTAATAGGAAGTTCTATTTATTCAGAGACCAGAACATTCTTTCATCAACAGAACGTCTTGCTTTCAGTTTTCAAAATATAAAATAAGGAATAATTTACCTCTTTGTAATGCTGTACACAGCTTACCAAATCAGGATAGTTTACTGTCACAGAATAAATCTGTACCAAAGCCTTTCTGAAGTAGATAGAGTTTCTTATAAATGAGAAAAACTGGAGACTGATCAAGTACTTGAGTTTCAAATGGTAGATGAAATAATATAGAAGTGTTCAGCACAGTGCCTAACAGAATTAGCACTCAGTAAACAGGAAACGCTGAGTTGAATAGTCGAAGCAGACGTTATGATGTTGGCTTATAGGCTGCTTTAAAATTTTTCCTTTAACAGGTAAACTGCTTTAATTCTCCTCAGAACTTCAAGAAATAAAACAATGACAAAACAAACAAACAAACAGACGACCAAAGTAACTAGCCCCCAAACCAAGTCCATACAAAAAGCCTTTGGATGTTGGCTGGCTAGGAGAGATTTTCAAATCTTTTCAGTTACAGTCTAAAAACTAGCCTTGGGCTTTGTGCATATATCATCATTAGGTAATAGGTTATGTTTTAATGTTGAGTATTACATCATGAATTTAGTGTGATATACAAGGTAAACATCATCATGGCAAGTTTCTCTAAATACTAAATAGTTTCTTTATTATTCATAGATAATAAAATTGCAGCATAAATAATATTTGGTCCACAGGACTGCTGCGATAATAAAATAAAATGTTATACATGAATATTCCATACAAATGAAAAGTTATTAATACTTTCATGTTGTTTGCAAAAACTCCTTATTTAAACTTTAGAATTATACTCTGTCTAGATATAGGGACCTTCAGGCTGCTATGTCAAACAAACTAACATTTTCTTTCCCTGTGCCAGTATTGTCTGCCACATCAAATGTATTCTGGGGCCATTTTTATTTTTATATTGATATTCTGGTGTAGTTTTTTTTTTTTTTTTTTGGTTTTTCTCCGGTACCGGGAACCGAACTCAAGACGTTGCGCTTGCCAGGCGGGCGCTTTGCCGCTGAGCTAAATCCCCAGCCCCTTCTGGTGTAGTTTTAAAACCTAATGATAATGCCTGGCAAGGCATCTACTCAATAAATGAATTTTTTTGTGAAAACAAGAGGCCAAATACTACCTTTAAGCAGTTATCATGCAATAAACCTACCTTGGGTCAAAGAATAGATGATTATTTCCCAATACATTAAACATCCACTTAACACCACAGAGAAGACTCAGTTACATTGCATTTAGTCATTTTTCACAGCTGAGTAGTTGTGCCATAAACGCCCACCTGAGGAGAGGGAGGTCCCAGACACTGCTATGGAAGGTGTGCTGGACGTGTTTCTCCGATGACTCTTTGTGAACTCCTCAGAGGTGCATTCAGTGGCAGACAAACCAATGGAATTTTCAAAACCATGCTCCTTACCACAAGTAAAAATTAAGAAAAGAACATTATACTTACTGTAATTTACTTTAAGATCATTCAGTATAAATATATTTTAGTTTACGCACATCTATGTATGTTACATTTTAGGAGTGAATTGACATTGGCAGGACCCTCATGAGCAGCCCATATGACTGCAAAACTTATTATCAATAATTGTTATATAAAATCTATTGCTATTCAGCACAAATGGTGTTTGAAAACTTTATTACTCACAAAATGAGTAAGTGTTCTCTTATATGATTACCAAGAAAAATGGTATAATTGCCCTCAATTTTATATGAATTATATTTAAAAATTTCCTAAGCTTCGTACCCTCATAGTACTACTTAGAACTGTGTTTGGTCCTATGTTTATCCCTGCTCCCAACATGCCTTCTCCTCAATCATCCTGCTGTGGTTTGGAACAGGAATGTCCCTCAAAGGTTCATGAGTTGCAGGCTTGGCCCTCATTTCAGTGACTGGGAGATGGTGAAATCTTTTGACAATGAGGCCCAGTGAGAGATGTTAGGGACTGTAGGATGCTGATCTCTTTCTCTCATTTTTTGCTTCCTGGCCAACATGAGGTGAGGAGCTTACTCTATCATACCTGCCCCACTATGATATGCTGCCTTACAACAGACTTAAAAGGAATATATCTGCCTGACCATGGACTAAAAATTCCAAAGCTGTGAGTCAAAATTAACCATTCTTCTTTTTAAGTTGACTTATCTCAAGTATTTGTTACAGCAATGGGAAGCTGACTAGTACCTATATCTGTATTGCCACTTAGTTGAAGGTGATGCCACCTTTTCAATCTAGAAGACTGCGTGGTCAGATTATGGTTGGTTATATCTATTGTGGGACAAAACTGACATGCATGGTACTTATCAATGCTCAGAAGAGTGAAGATTCCTCAACTTCTAGGAATTGGTGATTTTGAGGGGTTCTTACTAATAAATACATGTACATGTGGCAGAATTCATTCGGAGACTGGCTTACATTCTGACATATGATAAAGGAAAATTGCCCCAATATTCCTGGTGTACATAGGGACTTTACTCCTGCATTCCCGCAACTTCTTTGGATGTCAAAAAATAGTAATATTGGACATTTGGAGAGGGGTGAGTTTAAATGTCCATGCAGATGATAGCACGTGATAGTGATCACACCTGAAGGAGACTGTTAAAATTCTGCTTTGTACAAACAATCAAATGTCCCTTTCAAAGTCCTATATAATGTAATTTCTCCTTATTCTCCACATACTAGACTACCAGGGTTACAGTGATAAACTCACTCCCGAGAGATGTGGCTCTCACTTGCTTAACATGCTAATCAGTTCAGCTTCATTGTGGACTGTTTTTATGTCTTTCATTATTTTCTAATACCTAGAACCTGTAGCACAAAGTGTAATGCTTCTAAGTCCTCTAATTGCCATAGACCAGGGAGGTTTATCAAGAGTGTGACTGATGTCAAATGGTTTAGGTGAGTTTGAAATACCTCTTCAAAAAGTTATTTACATATGGAGTTCTCTAAGGAAGCCAAACCAAGTTCTTTACTCACAGTTATGATGATAGCAAACTTTTCCACAGGTAAGCTAGTAATACTATTAATATTGAGCATTCATAAGCCAATTGATACTGAATAGTCATTGAGGCATAGTGCATGCCCTAGAGCTTCATGTTTTCACATCTAAAATTAACATATCTCACCATAGCTCAGGACAGATTAGAGACTTACATGTTCTAAAACTTTTCCATTTTAAAAACTTCTTACAGGCTAAAATAGGAAAGAACATTGAAGCAAAGATACACTAAGAAATAGGAGAAATTGAGCAGTGATTTTGATCACCATCTAAGTCTATATACCTCTTCCTTTCATCATGAAAAAGCAAGTGTGCTTCCTAACCTGTTAAGCTGTCTTTTCTTCTTTAATCATTCATTCTTTTTTATTACTATATATTTACAGTACATAGTGATCACATTCAGCTTGGGGTTTGATACATCTGTGCACTGTATTTTGACCATTTTTACTCCTCCTGCCTTCACTGCCCTACTTCCTTCCTCAGATACTATCTTATTTTTACTCAACAGGGAATATTGCTCTTTTCTCTCTTTTCAGTTGCTTTGAAAATTTTTAATGTAATAGAAGTAGATAGTAATGAAGAAAATATAAAAAGCATTCTTTTAGGAAAAAATAAACTTTCATAAAAAATAAGAGAATGACAATAGGTATATACTGTGTATCATAATCTTAAAAGAAGTTGCTTAGAGTATAACATATAGACAGAAAATATCTCTTGCAAACATGAAACAAACCTAGTAGCACAAAACTTTCTTTTTCAATAAACTAAGATAAATTAGTATAAATGAAACAAACTAACATATATATTAAAATATTTTTGAAACAATGGAATAGGTAATTTGGGAAATTATTTGAAATTGTGTATCTGACTTATTTCACTTAACATTGTGTTTTCAAGTTTCATCCATTTGTCTGTGGATGTCTCAAGTTGATCTTTATTTATGGTAATGTAATACCCCATTGTATATATCTCAGCCTCAAAGAAAATATTCTTTTAGATCAGCTAGAATGTAAGAGTAATGTAATACAGGCCCTGTCTGTGTACTGTATATGTAAATAAACTCAACTTAGTTGCAGAGAATTTCTGTCAAAAGGTGAATTTCCCCACTTACTAAACTCAAATGACACTTGGGATGATAATCCTTGTTTTAAAAACAAATTTGATTAACTTATTGTTTATTGGACTGACAGTCAGCTACCCATTGGCACAACCATACCACTGTTAAAAATTTTAAATACTTTTTTGTATCAGTTGGTAAACAGTACTACTCCTAGTCTACCTCCCTCTCTTCATGCTCCTCCTCATCCACAGGTCTCCCCATAATCCACTGAAGAATGGCATCGTTTGGACCCACAGGGTACCGTCCAAGCCTGGTACCAGTATATATTCTGATTGGCTAGTGCTCCCACCATACCAGTTGTTAAAGAGTTTTAATATCACTCCTTGTAAGGTTGTCAAGTGAGCATAATCATCAACTACCCAAGGACTTTTCAGACTACTGAACATAATATGCTTGCTGAGTTTAGCATATTTATAAAATTTAAATATGTCTTTCATCTTAGCAAGTACAATCTATACTATAAGTGTTGAAGTGAATCTATTATTGTTTCAATCTGTTTGAGTCTTGACCCTTTCTTTTTTTGGTTTTTCGCCAGTACCGGCAACCGAACTCAGGACCTTGCACTTGCCAGGCAGGCGCTGTGCCGCTGAGCTAAATCCCCAGCCCTTGACCCTTTCTTAAAAATATTTATAGAATCTGATTGCTCACTACCTCCACTGTTACTTCTCTGTCCCAAAGTCTTACGTTTCTCCTGGCAATGGTCTGGCAATGGCCTCCTAACTGGTCTATGGTTTCCATTCGTGTTTCCTGGCAGCTGCTTCTCAGCACATCCCTTGGAGGCTATTTAAACTGAAGCCAGGTTACACTATTCCTATGCCTCAAACCCTCCAACTCACCCTCTCTTAACCAAAGTAAATGCCAAAGCACATACAATAGTTTTTGAGGCCCTTTCTGGCCTATGATCTCCTTGTACTCTTTTCTTAGACTTTTGCCTTCATTTACCCACAACGGCTACACTGGTCTTTTTACTCTCTCTTGAACGTACCAGCCATGACCAGGTCATTGCACTGGCTGTTCCTCTGGAGAAATTAAAAATACTTAAGAAACTTGTTGAGCAACTTCTTAAACTGAAGTGAAACATCCTTCTCCAGTTGTATTTGCCAAATATCAGCACTGTCTCTGCCTTGCTCCAGACATTTACATGGCTTATTCTTTCACTTCCTACAAAGTGTTGCTTGACCACAGCTCACTAAATTTTGCTGAATCAAAGAATTTGGGTTGTATACAAATATTTTAAAATATAGATGCCAACGTTATGTGCTGAGTTTCCTGCTTAATAAGAAATCATCTAGTAAATGATAATTGCTTCCAAAAACAATTTTTGAGAGAATATTTAATAAAAGAAAATTTTTCCCCACAAATACTTTATCCACTTTCTCCTTTAAAAGATAAAAGCATTATAAAATACAGTGATGATATATACCATATGTAATTTAAGCTTTCATTATGCTTTCATTATGATCCCTTATTTTAGCAGCTATGTAGAAAAGGAAACTACAGAAATATTTTAAGGCTCTACTTTTCCAGATTCCAGTCAGCTTGGAGCAATATTAGTGAAGTTAGTTTATGAATATGTTCCCTGGGAAGTAACAAGGAGGTTCAAAATCAGAGCGTTCTACAAATTCTTTATATTTGTTTAAATCATATAGTTATTTAAATCCCTGTCATACAAGGACATTTTAAAATCTTGTCTTTCTCTTTCCTTTTCAGTTTGGGCTTCTGGTCAAAAGCTAAGGGTGCAGAAGGATTGGTCTTCATAATGATACTTCTACCATTAACCAACATTTAAAAGAGGCTCCAAGATACAGAGCTCCAATCCAATCATGCCTTGGTAGGGAAGTGAAGTCCCAGAGGCTGAGTATCTCTTCACATTCGTGCACTTACTTTACTGCTGACTGAGGTCATGCTGCGTGTGCTTGGAGCTGGTGACCTCTGAGTGACAGGGGTCACATTACTCCGGCTGTTCTTCAGCATCCCAGATCCAGGTTCCTGCTCAATGAGATCTGATGAGGGGCTTCCCCTGAAACATAAAGCACATTCTGAATTTAACATGGAAACAGTAGAGAATAAAGATGCAGACAGGGAAAAGCTGACATGCAAAATGATGAGGACACATGAACCGCAAGCTCACAAGAGCCATGTTGGAACTGCTCAGCAACTGTATGTCACCCTCCTCCTCCAAACCTTTAGGGGCTCAGTAGGTTTGACCCCATTTGACTGACTTCAGAGTCTTTGGAGTTCAGCTTCATCCCCCATATTTCCAACTTTATTTCCTATTCCTCACCAACATTCTCCCAGCCATTCTACCTTCCTGATTATTCTCTCAATTTGCCAAGTTCTCTTTCACCTGCAAGACTTTTGTGCACTTTCTCCAGACCTGATAAGCCCTCTTTGCCATTCTGTCTATATAAATCTTCCCTATCCTTAATCATCCCCAACATGCCTTTCCTGTCAAGCACAGCCCCTGTCAACATGATTTGTACTTACATCCTAAGAGTTATATCTTGGTCTTGTTATGTCCCCTAATTGACCCACGGATATGTAGACCCTGGTTCTTCTTTGCATGCTGATCTCAGTGGGAACAGAATTATGTCATATTTACCATGGTAGCTCGAGCATCTTCACAGTCCCTTGGGACAAAGAAGTCATTCTGTACATGTTTAATCAAAGATTGGAAACTATATTTAATTTTTCTGTGATTTTAGTGTCTGCTTCATGGTACATATTTAAGAAATTTGGTATAAAAGTAATGGTCTTTGGTAACTGGATTGAATCATTTTTGTGTTTGTTAAATTACATTACATTCAACAGTGAAAAAGGAAGACAATTCCCTCCCTCATATGTTTTATGTTTTTTGTTTTTTTTTCTGGTACCGGGGATCGAACTCATGACCTCATGCTTGCCATGCAGGGGCTGTGTCGCTGAGCTAAATCCCCAGCCCGGCTGAATCCCCAGCGCCGCTTCCCTCAAGTTGATAACAATTTTCTTAATAAATGTAGCTTCATAAGTAAACAAAATTTTGACAAATTAGAATTTAATAACAGAGTTTGTTCTTGTTTTATTCCTTACCTCCCAGCAAGCACAAAATATACTACATAGGAAAATATAAACCCTGATTAGTTTCACATTCTAAATTACTACTTTAATAAGTTAGAATAAAGATATTTTTGGTAAAGCACACCAGCACTGGCTTATAGTGCTTAAGGCTTGCAATAAAGCTGAGCAGAGATGTGACTAACTTGAATAAAAGAAGGACTCAGGGGGTTGGGGATATAGCTCAGTGGCATAAGTGCCTGCCTGGCAAGTGCAAGGTCCTGAGTTCGATTCCTGGCACCAAATAAAGAAAAAAGAAGGATTTTGAAAAGTGTCTGAACCTGCATTTATTATTACTAGAAGATAAATCTGTCAGAAGGAAAAACAAGACGTGAGCATCAGAGCTGTCAATCACTACTTCTAAGTTTTTTGAAGGCTGTACATATGAAGGCCACCAAAGTCAGAAATGCCCCAATTAACATTACTACCACCATCACCACTCTCAGTAATTAAGCAAATAGTAGCTGTATTTAGTGAATATCTTCTAGGTATTAGCCACTTTCCACTCCTCCCAAATCCCAATAAGAAGATATTAACATTTCTGCTTTAATGATGAGGAGCTGAATCTTGATGAGGTTAAATAATTATTGCATTCATGTATGCACATACATAGTACTCTCCATCCATCTACCAAAGCCTGTGCCCGTTTCAGTTTGTCATACTGCTTATTCATCATGTCACCAAAATCAAATCATTACAACCAGGATAGGTGTACACTAATAGAATGAACTATCAAAGGACAGAGATCTTGGAATTAGTTTCTTGTTATTATGTGAAGAAAATTTTAAAAACTTTCTGGGCAGCATCCTTTTGGTACTGTGTAACCTCTGGCCTCCTCTTTCTAGACATGATACTTGTAATTAGAGCGCTATTAATTTAGCTCAGGAGGGAGGTTTATAACACTGTTGATTCTCACAAGAGAATATAATTTTCTGATTAAATAGATTGCTGTAATTTGGAATTCTAAGTTTGAGGGTGATTTTATGAGCTCTTCTGCCTTAGGACCTACATTTGAAAACAGCTAACAATGTTCATTGGATAAGTGTTTTTGTTCATGCCATAGGTACCAATTAAGGGAGGTTTAGGGAACTACACAGTGAAGCTGTGCTGTGACCGTTACATTGCCACAACCCTTTCTACTATTTCAGATACGTTAAAAAAGAGTCTAGACATGAATCTTGCAGAAAAGAACCAAGAATTTATAGCTAAAAAGATTCATGTGGACATTTGTATTTATGTCTGAAGGTCCTCCGAGAACCAGGTGGTTGTGACAAAGTTTTCAGCATGAATTAGCCTTAAGGAAACCAAAAACTTCTACTAGGAAGAAGCACTAGCAGAAGTTGATTAATTGTGGTGATGATACTCAAGAAGCTGTTGTGTAATAAGGAAAAAATTCTTGTGATTATAAGTCAGGTACTGGAAATTACTATTGCCAGCAGCATTTTCTCACAAATGACATATACTTTCTCATTCTCCCCTGACATTTACTGTGAGCATCTCAAAAATATTTTCCTTTCAGTTGATTAGACTTAAAAAAGGTTTGGTCTAATGAGGCAGATCATCATAAATCTTTGGGTGCCAACACTTTCAGATGTTATATAAAATACAATGTAAAATGCATGACCCTTTGCATCCTCAAATAAGAGGATGAAGCCTTCCTTGAGTCTAAATTAAAGTAGAGAAGTTTAAAGGCCAACTTAAAAGGAGATATTTTTGATTCAGATATCATGTTGCCCTGATTCAAATAAAAAGTATTAGATATTAGTGCCAACCAACTTCAAGCTAAAATGTGGTTAAGGGAAAACTGGGAGAAAAAGAGATCCTTTCATTTCATTGTAATAGGGCTGAAGTGTGGGCATATGACACTGTCTGGGGAGCTTGGTTATTATGGATTACTGAAAGACACATTTTCTAGGTTAGAAAAGAATCTTGTTTACTTTCTTTTTTGAAATACTTTTTAAAAGTCTTCTATTTTCTTGTCCCTAATTCCATGCTGCTCCCAAATCTTGATAATGGCTTCTCAGATATATCTGTTTCTGAAATTATAGTTTAATGAGTTGGATTTTTTTTTTTTGGTTTATATAATAGTCTCCCAGGAGTCACAGCTAGGAAATAAATTTCCCAAGATTGAATGTTTCCAGAGTGCCTGGCCCTGTTGAGCTCCCACAAGGCAACATTAACTTGAGAAACATCAGCACCTACTGGGACCCAGAAGCTAGTGCATAGCACAGCACACAGAAAATGCGTGACATTCCTTCTGACTTTTATGAGCTTTCCTAACTTTTCAAAGTTATTTCCAAACTGAAACATGCATGAAGATGAGCAAGGGAGATTGTAGTTGCAATGTGAGCTGAGTTTGCTACATTTGAAATAAATATGAAAGATGATAAAGAAAAGGGGAAAAGTTGAATGTACCTCTGTCTTCTAGTCTTTGGTGATCCAAAAATACTATGTCTTTGTGAACCATCTTCTGTGATGTGGATAGTCTTTCCTATTGGCTGTAAATCAGAAAAACCTAGGGAGCTACTATAAATCCCCGTTCAGATTATTTACTAGAATAATTAAACTGAATTCTCTGACTGTGGTATTTAGGTTACCACATGTGTTAAAACTCCCCAAGTGATTGCACTATGCAACTAAGGCTGGAAAACATTCAGCTAAACTACAGCTACAAGCTCATTGATCTATGATAACTGCCTACCTGCATTGCCCCATCCCCTTATAGTATTATACCATTATGTTCTTTCTTCAGCACAGTGCTCAAATGAAGAGAGCTAAGTTGTCCTCATGGCTCAGATTGTGATAATGAAAAGGGACTTTCTGTGTTAGTGAATGTGCTGCACTACAGGTCAGTAAACTATGACTGGTGAACTGAACTGAGCCAATAAAATATTTTTGTATGGCCAGTAAACTAGGAATGTTTTTCACATTTTGAAATGGTTGAAATATTTTGTGAAAAATGAAGATTTTATGAAATTCAAATTTCAGTCCCCATGAATGAATTTTATTGAAATTTAGGAATGCTCATTCATTTATCTGTTGTCTATACTGCTTTCCAGCTCCAAAAGCAAAGTTGCGGAGTTGAGACAATAAGACTCTTTGGAGGAGTTGACATATTCCAGATGAATGAATTTCAGGTGTTTTGAGTGTGTGTGTGGGTGTCTGTATGTGTGCGTACATGTGTGTGTGTGTATGAGAGACAGGGAGAGAGACAGAGACAGAGACAGAGACAGAGGCAGAAACAGAGAGACAGAGACAGAGATATTTAGGCATAGGTGAACTGTGAATTCTTAAATATAGGAATTCTTAACCATTAATTCTTAAATATAGATTTAGGAAAGCAGAGACACAAGGAAAATGTTACACTTTTCAGGAAGGTTCTCTACCTCCAATTTCCTCATGCTGCTGGCCTTTTATAGATTGATTACACACGTCTTTCCTTTTCAGTTTTGGAGAGAGCACAGAGGTCATGTAATGTTGATGTCCTTAATGAAATTATCTTCAATGAATCAGTATTAATTATATAAAGAGCCTTTATAATTTGATATAATAAAACAAAAGATCATTTTTGGGTAGCTTCTTAAATGTTTACTGTCTCTTTAGTAGATCTGTTTCCTTGCAGAAGACTCCCTTTACAATGGAGGAGAAAGTAGCTAGGAAAGAAGGACACTGGCTGCATATGGAGAAGAATGAAAAATAGGTAGTTCTCCAAGTCTGGTATTTTTTAGCATCACAGTAAAATCTTGATCAAATGTTTTATTTCTATATACAGACAGAACCCAATTTGAAGACAGAAGTCAACAGCTATGAAAAATCTAGAGTCAATCAGAAGTCAGAAAAAAGAATGCCAACTGCCTTCTCTTATGGACAATAAAGAAAGCAAAGGTTTACCAGAACTTAGCGTGAGGTAAATAAATGGAATAAGTA